GCAAGTACTACGCCATTAGTCTTCACTAGACTTTTCTAGTACTTTCTCAATGTGCACAGTTTCTCTCTTTCTCTCTGTTGGTAGCTTAGAACCTTTTCCATTCCCTTCTTTCCCTCTCATTTGCTTTTATTATTCTTTATATTCCTTGTCCAATGCGCGCACTATTTCTATTTTGTCACCTGATCAGCGAGGAGAATAAATGCTTGGGTGTGCCCTCTAAAAGAGACAATGCGGCGGCGGCGGAGGCAGCTTTATTGTAGACACCTCAATTGCTCTCCGCAATTTGGCTCGGGTAGCGTCTAAAAGTTATGAGTTTGCGATTATTTTATTTGGTGTGTCGCACTGGCTCGCGCGCGCGAATATCGCCGATGATTCTGTTGCCCCCTCTTTTTTTTCTATGTTCTCCTTTTCTTTCCTCTCTCCTTTTTCTCTGTGATTGATCATCCATTCGACGCACTCTAATTTTTTGGTATTATTAGACATGGAAAATAGAGAAAGAGAAAGAGTTACCTGCGCTCTAGTGTGTATGTATATTTGATCAGCTTTGGGAGAGCACTGCATTTTGTCTCTTTGCTGTCCGGCGGCCGACTGACTCTCAGCACGTTATGACCGCGGCAGACACTGGCCCAGATAGATCTTCTCTTGCGCTCTCCCTTGCCCTGTCAATGCATGTTCGGTGTCAGTGCGTGTGTGTGTGTGTTTGACAGGAAGAGAGCTCTGCACAACATGAGCATAAGGTAGAGCAGGTAGAGTCTCCCTGAGAGAAGGAGAAATTAAGTGGAGAAAGACAGCACGTAGTCAGTCAGTAAGTCAGACACGACGAGAAATTACCATCGAGACACCATCGGCGACGGCGAAAGTGAGTGCCCTGTGTGTTGTGAACTGTCTGCAAACGAGCGGCAATTGCCTGAGATTGGCTGCGGCTGCTGTTGCTGTTGCTGTCGTGTGGATGCGTTCGATTGGAACCAGTTCGGCAGTGCGGCGACTTTACAGCTGCTTCATATGTTTTTGTTATTGCTATTGACCACCACCACGACGAAAGCGCCGAGTCGACTCGTGGCCTGGACAGTGACCGTAGACTGACGGACTGGACACACAAACAACACAGACACGGACACCGCAGACAACAAACACTGTGCCGCCTCACTTCATTTCACTTTTGCACCGTTTCGGTTTTCACCAGCACCTTCTGCGTCTTCCGTTCCTCTGCTGCTGCTGCATATCTGCTGAATTGTCTAACTGACTGACTGTTTGTCGATCCTCTTGTGTACCTCTACAGTTTTCCCNCCTTCCGTCCTGCTGCTGCTGCTGCTGCATATCTGCTGAATTGTCTGATTGACTGACTGTTTGTCGATCCTCTTGTGTACCTCTACAGTTTTCCCCTTTCTCTCACTGTGTGCTGTCAGTAGTGGCTTTTGTTCCCTCTGTGGTATTTGTTTGTTTGTGTGTGCGTGTGTTTACCTCCTCATGTGACAGCGGCAGATTCGGTACTTCATCACAAGCACTGCCATCACCGCCGTGTACGGCCGCTGTCAGCTGTGGCTAATTTATCACCATCACCATCATCATTATCATCAATGCTGATAGCTGCTTCAAGACCTCTCTAATCGCACTCTTCTTTGATCAGTCTCAGTTTGATTGCTCAGTCAGTTTTTCTTTCTTTCTGGACATTGGAGGGACACCGTTGTCAGTGACAGCTTGCTCACCTGGCTCCTCATTAGCCAGCAGTTTTTCTCTTCATTTTTCTGTTTTAGTGCTGCGGCACTTTTTTGTGTGTTGTCGTTGTCCCACTACTACTCGTGCAATTTTTGTCAATCGTCATCGCAACACACCGAGGGAAAACAGTCGTCGTACACTCATTGACAGCACTGTGAACAGCGAGAGAGAGAGAGGGAACAAGAAGGCACACCGATATTATATGTTGCACCGTGCGGTGGTGAAGTGCACCGCACTGGTTGAGAAGAGCATTTTGCAATGTTTGCTGATAAGGCACTTTTCTCTTCTTCTCTGTTGCTCTTTTAGGCAGCAGCAGCGACAACAATAGCAACTCGATAACTTTTCCAATGGTCGTCGAAGCAGGTTGTTAGTGTCTGCAAACCCAAATTATTTTCTCATTTTTTGTTGGGATGTGTTGAGCAGACATCTGGATCAAACAGGCTTTTGCTGCTGCTGCTCCCTGCTCTATTGACCAATTTCCCCTATCGCAACGCAAGCGTTGAGCCACTCTTTTTGCTAATTCAACGCCGTCAATTTTGTTCGCTTTTTGACTTTTGCCTTTTCGAATGATGTCATACCACGGTGCCGGTGACGGTGCTGGTGGTGGTGGTTGTCATGCCGACAGACATGTTGGCTGCGGTGTCAGCACAGTGGAAGCGCAGGGCTCGTGCAGTTTCATTGACCACTGATCATCACTATCATCACCATCGTTTCGATGCGCCACTTCAAAATGCCACATTCCAGAGAGGATAAATGCAAGCGGTGCGCCCATTGAATGTCACTTGATGAACATCAATCACTCCAGCGCGGCACTAGCACTTCTATGCCAGCACCAGACAGCACATCTCATATTCTCGCAATTGGCACCGAATCTTGATCTCGAGGAGCTTCATCATCATCACCCCCAACAACAGCTAAAACTCTCTTTCCAATCTCAGCGCCTTAATCTNCCTTAATCTCTCCGTCCACTACCGTACAGACACACTCTCTGTTGCCTCCTGATCGTCCCCAGTTTATCCCTAGAGGCTAAACACTTCTTTTGCACGTACCACCGAAACCGCGTTCTTCATTCTCCAGTCGAGCTTGCTCCTCCGCGCTCNGGCACTAGCACTTCTATGCCAGCACCAGACAGCACATCTCATATTCTCGCAATTGGCACCGAATCTTGATCTCGAGGAGCTTCATCATCATCACCCCCAACAACAGCTAAAACTCTCTTTCCAATCTCAGCGCCTTAATCTTTCCGTCCACTACCGTACAGACACTCTTTCAGCTGCCTCCTGATCGTCCCCAGTTTATCCCTAAAGGCTAAACACTTCCTTTGCACGTAACACCGAAACCGCGTTCTTCATTCTCCAGTCGAGCTTGCTCCTCCGCGCTCTACAAGTGCCTAAAGCTGAGGCTTATCTCCACTACTCTACTCTCAGCACTTGCACTTTGTCATCTCTCTCTGCAGGCACGCAGTACCCTTTGTCATCCTGCTGTGTGCGAGTGCGTGTGTGTGTCTTAACTACGCAATCAAATAAGAAAGGAGAACTGTGTCTCACCCGGTCATAATCTCTTTCTCTCACTGACTGTTGTTGTGGTGTTGGCGGTGGTGATCGTTAGCATCATCTTCATCATCATCAGCGGGACTTACTACCAACGCGTCTTTCTCCCTCGCTCTCTTGTGCCTTATCAAACCGCATCTCCAATTGCTACAGCTACCACCACTCGGCCGATATTTGTCGCCGTTGTCGTCGTCGTACAGCTGACATAGTTGAGTGTACCGTAGTACGGGAGAAATGTGAGAGCTTATGACTGGNTCTTGTGCCTTATCAAACCGCATCTCCAATTGCTACAGCTACCACCACTCGGCCGATATTTGTCGTCGTTGTCGTCGTCGTACAGCTGACATAGTTGAGTGTACCGTAGTACGGGAGAAATGTGAGAGCTTATGACTGGCTGTGTCTTTGTCTCTGTGAAAATCGACCAGTGCAGTCACTATTTCGGGCTGACTGACTGAAGTCGCCTTCTCTGCACCTTCTCCAATTTCGATTACAGTATTTTTGTATTTTTCATTGTTGATGTGCCGGTCGATATCAGCCACAAGCAGCAGCAACAATCGAGTTTAGTTGACAAACGAGCAGCAGCAAGTAAAGCACAGTGAATCGACCTTTTTATTTTTTGTTTGACAACGACACTGCTGATGTGAGAAGAGGAAACTGGAAAAAGACATTCAAATGACATCATTTTCGTCTTGAACCTGTGATATCACCACTACCACTACAACAACAATGACAACTACCACAACTAATATTGTCCTGACGGACAGCACTGCTGGAACACTGCTCTGGAATGGCTCCTACCTGCAGCTAACGAAGCGAAAGTCTATTCCAGTGACGGTCAATCTGACGGTAAAGTTCCTCCAGCTCTGTCGAACCAGTGGACAGCCAAGCAGTTCAAACAACAGTGCCCCCAGCAAGACTGTCGAACGCTTCGTCTTTGACCAGATTGCCTCCTGTGAGGTGATGTCCACCGAGGAGGTGCTCCACCAGGAGAAGGAGAGCCGGCGTCGGCGGGGACGATCTCGCTGTCTGGGCCGTGACAAGAAGAGCCTCCTTCAGCAGCGACTCCTCGAGACGGATGTCTGCCTGCAGATGGTCATCTACCCGGCGGCAGTCGCTTCCGTTTCCTCCTCCTCGTCCTCCTCCTCATCCTCCGAGAAGAGGCCTCACCGTCGAATTGTCACGCTGATCATCAACAGCCACTCTAGCCACGAGGAGAACCTCAACGAGGCGGAGCTCTTTCAGCGCAAGGTCGCCACGCTTATTCACAGTGGTAAGTGTGCTTGTACTTGTGCTTGCAGTGTGTGTGTCGTTTCACTCTTTTCTCACCTTTGAGGAAGTGTGTGAAAGTGTAAAGTGAGGACAGGTTGAACTGACTGCCTAACACTGATTTTGTGACTTTTTTCTCTCTCCTGTTCTCTTCCATTGAAAGGTCACTCTGTCAGCAAGCCAGTGCTCATTATCCTCAACCCGAAGAGCGGCAAGGGCAAGACGATTAAGATTTTCGATCGAAAGGTGAAGCCGCTGCTTGACGACTGCGGCATCAAGGTTAGTGCCGGCGCCAGATGACATTTAAATGTCAAAGTTACCTAACACTGANAATTAAGATTTTCGATAGAAAGGTGAAGCCGTTGCTTGACGACTGCGGCATCAAGGTTAGTGCCGGCGCCAGATGACATTTAAATGTCAAAGTTACCTAACACTGACGTAATGATTGGTTTTTTCTTTTTTCTTTACCTCATTAGTATCACGTGCTAGTCACCAAGCATGCGAACCACGCATCGGAGTTCATCGAGGGCAGCCACGACCTGGCGGCGTCCTACTCGGCGGTGGTCACCGTCTCCGGCGACGGTCTCCTCTTTGAGGTGCTCAACGGCTTTGTCAGCTCCCTGGAGCGGCTCGAAGTCAAGCAGATTCCCATTCCCATCAGTAAGTTCAGCCTTTTGCTTTTTCAAAACTTCGTTTCTAATTGCTTGCCATTGTGCCAACTATCAGGCATCATTCCCGGCGGCTCCGGCAATGGCCTCGCCCACTCCATCAACAGCATCTTTCTGGGCGACCCTGGCGGCGTGCCCCGCAAGTCGGCAAACCAGGTGCTCGACTGCACCTTCCACGTGATCAAAGGCCAGCCGGTGGCGATGGACCTGGTGCGCATCACCACCCGCGACAAGGTCTACCTCAGCTTTCTCTCCTTTGGCTGGGGCCTGATGGCCGACGTGGACATCGAGTCGGAGCGGCTGCGCTGCATCGGCGAGCCTCGCNTCTGGGCGACCCTGGCGGCGTGCCCCGCAAGTCGGCAAACCAGGTGCTCGACTGCACCTTCCACGTGATCAAAGGCCAGCCGGTGGCGATGGACCTGGTGCGCATCACCACCCGCGACAAGGTCTACCTCAGCTTTCTCTCCTTTGGCTGGGGCCTGATGGCCGACGTGGACATCGAGTCGGAGCGGCTGCGCTGCATCGGCGAGCCTCGCTTCGCCATCTGGTCAATCTACCGCAGTCTGGCGCTGAGGACCTACGGCGGGACGCTCAGTTATCTGCCCGTAGGCGAGGCCAACCAGGGCGTGGACGTTCCGCCGCTGGACTGTCCCATCAAGGAAGATGGCAGCCAGCACTGGGTGGTTGAGCGGGGCGACTTTGTGCTGGTGTACGCCGCCTACCAGAGGTACCTCAACTCCTCGGTGATGTTCGCCCCCGCCTCTACGCTCGACGACCAGACGATCTACCTGCTGTACATCAAGTCGGGCGTCAGCAGCTGTCAGGTGATTCAGTTTCTGCTCGCCCTCGAGGATGGCTCCCACGTCGGCCTGCCCTTTGTCAGCTTTGTGCCGGTGCGAGCCTTTCGTCTGGAGCCGGCCAGCGATTCCAATATCATGACCATTGACGGGGAGCAGATTGCCTGCTCGCCGGTGCAGGCGCAGGTCAGCATGAAGGCGAACATTCTGCTTAGGTCGCCGCAGATTAGTACGACGACGACGACCATGGCTTCTGGTGGAATTGCCTCTGGTGGTGACCCGCTCACCCACAACAACAACACTTGATTTACTATACTATTTATTTATTTATTTATGCCGATTTGTTATTGTTGGACTTATCTTGGTCATCCTCATCATCCTCATCATCAACACCATCATCCTCCCTATCACTGCTCATCACCAACAATGTTTTGTGTGAGGGGTTGTAAAATGTTTATTGTAATTTTATGATAAATGATGCGTCATAAAATGAGTAATAATCATCTGTAAAGATTAGCTTTTGCGGCTTCTAAAAAGGTGAACAAGAGTTTTGTTTCTAAAAAGTTTTAGTTGTAGTGGTGGTAATTTTTATTTACTATTCTCTAGTTGCCACAGCAGGGCAGGTACTTGGTGATGGAGAGCTTTAGCATGGCGGGATTGTCACTGCCAGAGGAGGAAAAAGAGGGGAAAAGTTCAGTGTACTAGGTTTTGATCAAATGTACTGATTCACACTTACATTCGCTCATTGCGAGCTTTGATGTAGTACTTTACGAGACAGAACTGCAAAAAGAAACAAAATTGCGTTATCATCAAGCAGGTCTTTTTGATTGTACAATGTGCTTCATCATCCTACCGACTGGTAAATCTCCGAGGGCTTCTCGATGTACTGCGAGGCAAGGTCATGCAGGTAAGCAAGAATGCGCTTTATTTCTCGATTGGTGCTGGCCAGTCGTTTGGTGGTGAGAACTAGGAGGACGCATTTGGCGACCACAACAAAGAGGTCGAGCATCATCCACTTGGTCACTTTGGCGACCATCTCCGGGTCGACCGTTCCTCGACTGCCCTTCTCCAGACTGATGCTAATCGAGTCGAGGGCGGAGACGAGCATGAACAGCTGAAAGAGGTCCTTGCCGATGTTGATCAGCAGTATGAGGAGAATGTCGCTGAGGAGGAGGTTGAAGACGTAGTTCACCTTGCAGACCATGTCCGCATTTGCCTTGAAGACGTTCTTCACTCGCTGAAAGTCTTGCAGGCTGATGGACGGCAGGTCCTCCGACATGGAGCGGATGTAGGTGTTGAGACAGCTAGAGA